GTGTGTGTGTGTGTGTGTGTGTGTGTGTGTGTGTGTGTGTGTGTGTGTGTGTGTGTGTTCGCTCTCACCACAGTCTGAAGGAAACACAATCTCCTAAGTGAAATATTCTGCGGTTTGAATTACAAGCCCATTTCCAGTGAAGAAGTGACATTGTGTAAAACACACATTTGAATTTGATGACTGCAACACGCTCCAAAACAGCTGGGACAGAGTCATGTTTACCACTGTGTTGCATCAGCTTTCCTTTTAACAGCACTTAATATCTGCTTGTAGTAAGTAAGTCATTTCTATTATCCAAGTGTCATGCACCACAAAAGGTGTGCAGCCCTCATTGGCTCATAAGACACACAAACATTTTCAAAAGTGCAGAGACCAGTCATCATTCCTCTTTCTAACATGTTAGGCTTTTAAAACAAACTGAGCTAATTGAAACACAAAATACTTAAATAAAAACTGCACTTTATCTTCATCACCCATGTAAAATAAATCCAGATCAACATCAAGAACTTTACCAAACAATTKATTTCTAGAAATCCAACACATTCTCACGTCAGACTCGTCAACATATTGAAGCTTGGGCAGGGACCATCTGCGTCCAGTTTTGATGCGTCTGGTACCCCCCGCGCGTCCGTCCTCGCCCGCGGCTTTTCCGGGTTGCGTCACTTAGTGGTCTTTGGGTTGAGGGTCTGAGTTTAACATGAGGGATCAAGATTAATGGTTAATTTGAGATACTGGGGTCAGGGATAGGCTGTATATAGCTGATACAGGTTAAATTTAGGGTCTGGGACGGTTAATTCTTGTGCATTCTCTACATTTAAAAAAATGGTTAATATGAGGGATCAGGGTTAATGGTTAATTTTAGGTACTGGGGCCTGGGATAGGCTGTATAAAGCTAATAGAAGTTAAATTTAGGGTCTGGGATGGTTAGTTTCACGCATTTCCTACTCTTGTAAAAAAACAGAACAACGCGCCCATCCTCCTCCGCCTCATCTCGTAAAAACTGACGCACGGGGGCTACCCGGCGTGTCAAAACTGGACGCAAAAGGCTACCGGACCAAGTGTCAATATGTTGACGTGGGGGGAGTGAGAATTCTTTGAGAAATCCTGTACGAAGGACAATAAAACAAAACGTGCATCTCATTTTCATTCAAAATCACATAGAGAACATAAAGTTGGACACTATTTATTGAAATTGTTATGGACTAATTATTTATATCTGTTTCACCTTGACGCTGTCCAGTACTCATGTATCTTATGATAACTTCTTTCGGCTCTTAATCTGTTTGCCCCAGATGTCAGGACTCCAGCAACGGATTGACCTCTCTTGGTTGATWAGTTAACTCTTTGGGCTGAGAGCCCTGTTATTGGCTAGGCAGTTATATTTGTCGGATTGTGATTGGTTGTAAACTGTCACATGGTGTTAACATGATGTCATATTATTGGCTGATTCCGCTGACGAGGCAGCCACAAACCCGACAGACTTCCTGATTGACTTCTGTTTGTTTGTTGCTCAAGAATTAAATCATTTGACGACCATACACGCAGACTTTCTGTGCATTTATTCCAACGTGTTTCTGCACTCTTGATAAACTTGCCACGACAAAGCTTTGTAGGTAGAATTCTTTCCCATTCTTCTTTGACGAACAACTTCAGTTTCTCAACAGTCTGGGGGGTCTCTGTTGTTGTATTTTGCACTTCATAATGCTCCACACATTTTCAACACTCTTTTACTACGAAGCCACACTGTTGGAACACATGCAGAGTGGCTGGGCAATGTCTTACTGAAATAAGCAGGATGTCCCTGAAAAAGACGTGACTTGGATGGCAGCATACGTTCCGAAACTTGTTTCATCATTAATGATGCCTTCACAGATGTGCAAGTCACCCATGCCATACTTACTTGCAGAGATTTGATGATATTATGGATTGTAGARGATAAAATCCCTAAATTCCTTGCAATTGTACATTGAGAAACGTGTTGGACTATTTGCTCAGGCAGTTGTTCACAATGTGGTGAATCATGTTCCATCCTTGTTTGTGAACGACTGAGCCTTTTGTAGATGCTCATTTTATACCAAATCAGGACACTCACCTGTTTCCAATTAACCTGTTGAATGTGGAAAGCTCCAAACAGGTGTTTTTGATCATTCATCAACTTTCCCAGTCATTTGTTGACCCTGTCCCAAGTTTTTTGGGAATGTATTGTAGGCATTAAATTCAAAATAAGTAATTATTTGCAAAAAAATAGTTTATGTGTTTGAACATTAAATACATTTTCTTTGTAGTGTATTCATTTGATTAAAAGTTAAAGGATTGGCAAATCATTATATTCTGTTTTTATTTATGTTTTACACAACCTTGAAACTTCATTGGAATTAGGGTTCCGTTAAGGCAAATTCAGGAATTACTTAACAATTTGAAGTGATCTTTTTATAATTACGCCATAAATCAGATTTTATACCATTAATCTTACAGTAAGTTACAGTAGATTATTGTGTGTAGCAAGTTTGGGCCTGTTCCCCAGTGTCAGCACAGAAGTAAAAACAGCATTGCCCTCTTCAACACGTGGTGTACAGGCTGAACTGTGAGATAAAAAGTTTACACCCACAAAAATACAGCAAGCTTTCTGCTGGGCTTTGGGAGAAGAGTGTGTGAGGATGTGTCTGTGTGTGTATGTGTGTGTGTGTGTGTGTGTTCCTGAAGGTTTCAGACTGATCAGATATTTTAGGAATTTACAGTCGAAATCCAAATGCTCACACCAGCTCTCCTCTGTCCCTGTCTTCAGACACGAGCTTTTAGAGGAAGCCAGGAGGAAAGGGTTACCGTTCGCCCAATGGGATGGCCCTACAGTTGTAGCCTGGTTGGAGGTAAATGATCATCTGGAATAAGCATTTTGTGTAGCAGATTAGAYTCATACCAAGACCAAAGACTTATGGAGCCWAAAATCTTCTTGCTATARGWTTTTTCAGTTCATATCTAGRATAATTTGTACGATTCAAACTAGATATTTAAGCATGTGTATAAAGTGTGTCCATCAATCTATTCACCTCCCCTCWAATCCTCCCGTCACGACGTACCAGATAAGAACAGACTCAAATGAGATTATTGAGGCTGATAGTTTGTTTTTGAGCTGCTGACYGGCAGCATTTTGTGCTAGCATCACATATTTTTAGAGCTGACAGATAAGAGCTAAATCCCTCCAGTCCATTGTAGTTATGGCATGATGTGACAACKTGTGAATCAACGTGTTGATGCTTCTGGGCATGGAATTGTTCAGAAAAGCTTAAGACTGCGATTGGAAAAAGCAAAAATACGCAGTCGAAATAGGTTAGTTATATATTTAAGTGWCAAACTAATCCCAGTAATTGATTTTTCTGTGATGAAGCTATGGTTAGGAATGCCAGCCTGGTACGTGGCAGCGTGCCGCGCCAACGTGAAGAGCGGCGCCATCATGTCGGCGCTCTCCGACACCGAGATCCAGAGGGAGATCGGCATCAGTAACCCCCTGCACAGGCTCAAACTTCGCTTGGCCATCCAGGAAATGGTCTCCCTCACCAGCCCCTCAGCCCCGCCCACCACCAGAACCGTGAGTTTGACCTCAAACGCTCAAGAACTGATTGACACGTGCATTTCTGCAATGAGTTGTTGGAGGTAGAAAAAGACTTGATCTCAGTTAAAAGAAAAATCAGAAACTTTTATTTCATTTTTTTAATATTTTGGGTTATTTCTTTTTTTAATAAAAAGATGGCTAACCTGCACAACAAAGCTTGATTGACAGGTGTGAGTAGACACTACAGGTACAACTTTGTTTTAGTTAAATAGAGCTAAATAAATTCATTTAAACTGGTGTTTTTAGACAGAAGRAGGATGCATGCCACCCTTATAACTCAAACTGACACTTTTTCAGTCTTTCCTTTTGTTCACCATGTCACACTTTACCTCATAATCTCTTTTACCAATCAGCTTTGTGCCTAAATTTGAACTATACTTAGCACAAAAAGTAAGTAAATTAGTGTTTGGTAGATTATTGCTTTGTTGTAACAATGCTTCTTGGTAAAAAAAAAAAAAAGACAGAATGTGGGGTGGAGATGACAGCATCATCAGCAGCGCAGAGGAGTTTGGAAAGGACTGAGAGATGGAGATGAATTTTTTATTTTATATACATACATATATATATGTGTGTGTGTGTGTGTGTGTGTGTGTGTGTCCTACAGGCTTTGAGGCATAAAATAAATTTGAAGCCGAGTTTTTGAAAAACAAAATCAGGGATATTTTTAAAAATTTGTAATATTTTTATACGTGCAAAATGGTGGAAAATCTGTAAATTTACAGACAGTCTGTCCAACTTGACATATATGTTCTGGTACTCCTAGGTGCTGCCTATCAAGTGTCCAAGATTTATTGTCAAGGAGCACTGTTGCAACAAATAAATCGTCTACTAAACACAAATTTCCTTACTTTTTGTGTTAAGTTTTTAAATGTACTTCCAGTTAGAGATCTCTTAGATCTCTTTTTTGTCACGTTTACTAGCCACACGCTTGTGAAAGCGTGGCATTTTTTCATTTTTCCCACATCTCTGAAGCACAAAGTGAATGAGGGGAGTTCACAGTCAGGAGTCGCAAAACACTAATATAAAGGTAGCTTAGACTCTGAATCTAAATCTGTGGTCAAATTTGTATTAAACTTAACTAAGTCTTGTGTGCAAGTAAGCATTGTTTGTTTATGAATTGTCATCCAAAGCTATTAGTCCAGAAGTATGAGAGTTAGACCCAGAACAATGTAATAACAAGATGAAACTTTCATATATAAAAAACTAAAAGTCCCCAAGAATTTATCTTGTGGTTTTGATAAATTCAAAATGGCGTCCAAGATGGCTGCCAGCTTGATAATTTCTCACATTTTAGGCTTAGAACATCATAAAAATGTGAATGAGTCGAAATGTTGTTTTTTTTTTTTTTTTTGTGGCATGGAATTGAATTTCAGTAACCAGCAAGGTTGGCCAATCCTCGTTCTTGAGGGCCGCTATCACATATGTTTTACTTTTTCCCCTACTCCAACAGAGCTGAATCAGTGACTAAATCACTTGTTCAAGTTTTCCTGAAGCTGAACTGCATACAGGTTTCATTAAATTAATAAATTTTAATTGAAACTGAATTCCATGCCTCAAAAGAAGCATGTTTAAATCGAATTTTCACACGTTTTAGCCTATAATACTAGAAAAAATTAAGTTGGCAGCCATCTTGAACACAATCTTGATGTACATACTGACCTACAATCAATGATTTGTTTGGTGTGTTCACAGTGGTAAATTCAARAGTGTTTTGATTTTAGACATACATTATATTGCCAAACATACAGTATTGGCTCACCTGCCTTGACTCACACATGAGCTTAAGTGACATCCCATTCCTAATCCATAGGGTTAAATATGACYTTGGTCCACCCTTTGCAGGTYGAWCAGCTTCAGCTCTTCTGAGGGTGGTRCACAAGGTTTAGGAGTGTGTTTATGGGGATTTTTGACCATTCTTCCAGAAGCACATTTATGAGGTCACATACTGATGTTGGACAGAAGGCCTGGCTCTCAGTCTCTGCTCTAATTCATCCCAAAGGTCTATCAGGTTGAGGTCAGGACTCTGTGCAGGCCAGTCAAGTTTATCCACACCAGACTCTGCCATCCATATGGACCTTGATTTGTGCGCTGGTGCAGTCATTTGGATGGCTGAGCAAATACATTTTGCAATGTAGTGTATTTATTTATCTACTTTAACAAGTAACAAAGTAATAAGGAAAATAAAATGGTAGTTTCACACTATTTCATGTGGCTTAACTGTCAAGACACAAGAAGAGATGCAAGTTTTTTTCACCATCTACAGGCAGCTTGGTGAGGGATGAGTAATGTGGGTTACATCTGTTTGTATGAAATTATTGTTAATCAGTGTTCTGTTGTGCATGGCAACTGTTTTTTTTTTTTTTTTGTTACTTTTATTGTACGTCACTGTCAGTGTTTTGTGATGTACTTTGTTTTTGTCCTTTGCTCATTTCCTTTGACCCCTGGTGGGTTTCATCGTCTGACTGTGATGCTATAACACTATTGGCTTACAGTGGTGCTGCTCTTCTTCTTTAACACTGCTTGCCCCGCCTACCGGACCTCTACTACCACCCCTGCTGCTGCTCTGTCTCTCGGGCTCCGCCCTGTGTAGCCGTCAGGCAACGTATGGGTGACCCATGAGGAGATGGAGACCCTGGCAGCTCCTTCCAAAACGGTCAGTCCTTTTGTTTCCTCCGTCACATTTTCTCTGTGTGTAAGAGTTAACGGATGGTGGCTCAGATAGATGGCATGCAACAGTTAAACCCTCCTGTCAGTACTAATAATACTAATAGTGCTGAAGTTTAAATTTATAWTAAAAACATGGAAATCTAATGTGCCATAATATAGGAACTGTATATTTTTTGGATCACAGTGAGTATCTGCATTATTGTGGTAGGTACATTTTTATGCACAAATTTCTTTTACATTTGCAGTTGTACTTAGAATGTATGCATGTATTAATTTCTTCGACCTTAATACAAGATTTACATTTCTCTCATAATTTTCATGTATTTTAGGGGTTTACTGTTTGCCACTTGCAGATTTTGAAAAACATTTGCAACGACCTGTTTCCTTGATTCGACAGATTGCATTGTAGGGTTTCATCTTTGCTTGTTGGTTACATTTTAAAATAAGCTGCTGAATTATAATGCATTTAACATTTAAGAAAAAAAATGCTAATTATATTTCCTTTTTTTCATCTTTTCCTGATGCTGTCACCAGAAGTCTGACTCTGAAGAGGGGAGCTGGGCACAGGTAATGTTAGCTTGCAGTTGTTGTTGAAACTTGTATTCATTATACATCATGGAGCATGTTTGGTGTCAGACTCTGGCGTATGGGGACATGAACCACGAGTGGATTGGCAACGAATGGCTGCCCAGTCTCGGACTACCTCAGTACCGCAGCTACTTCATGGAGTGCCTGGTGGACGCCCGCATGCTGGACCACCTCACCAAGAAGGACCTGAGGGTGCATCTGAAAATGGTGGACAGCTTCCACAGGTACTCTGTTTAAACATTCTCTCTAGTCAAATAAGCTTGAATTCACCCTCCATGACTGTGTTTTTCTGACTTTAGAACAAGTTTACAGTATGGAATCATGTGTCTGAAGAAGCTAAACTACGACAGGAAAGAACTGGAAAGACGGAGAGAACATAGCCAGCATGAAATAAGAGGCAKGAATACAGAAAGCAAAATTAAACTTAAAAAAAGAAGAATGTATTTTAAGTTTACGCTGATCTCTGTAGATGTGCTGGTGTGGAGTAATGAACGAGTCATCCGCTGGGTGCAGAGTATAGGCCTGAGGGACTACGCCAACATCCTGCTGGAAAGCGGTGTGCATGGAGCTCTGGTCGCCCTCGATGACAACTTRGACTACAGCAGCCTGGCCCTGCTCCTCCAGATCCCCAACCAAAACACTCAGGTATGAAAATACTGACCTCAGACTGTTTTCTATCAATCCCGTTTAATTAAAACTCATCAGTTGGCGCCTTCGTTCAAAAATAGGAGTGTTTTTATCGGCCTTCAAACGCAGACAGAATCTAAGTCAGAACATGCAAATTTGCCAAATGTCTTTCTGGCAAGTTGCCCCGTGAAACTCATCTTACAGCTGGGTAATTTCAATATGAAGCATAAATAAGGTAACACGTCGGCTAAAAATAGTTGGACTTGTGAACATGAGTAATCTGGTTGTTTTTCCTCTCGTCTTCAGGCACGTCAGATTCTGGAGCGAGAGTACAACAATCTGCTGGCGCTGGGCACCGACAGGAGGCTGGAGGAGGTGAACTCTTTTAGCTTTAGGATTATTTAGAAATGGCTACTTTTTGTTCAGTAGTTCAATGTCGATTGTATTTTTATTTTTATTTTTTTTTCTCAGTGCGATGACAAGGACTTCCGGGGTCCGTCCTGGCGGAGACAGTTCCCTCCCAGGGACGTCCACGGCATCAGCATGATGCCTGGATCAGCAGAAACTCTTCCCGCCGGGTTCCGTCTCACGGCGACGTCCGGTCACTCCAGAAGGCTCCCCCCCGAGGGTGAGAGATGGACTCMAACACCTCTGCCTTTCATCCATCCGCAATGAATTTCTTCTTAAATAATCCAATGGTTTGGTGCAGCTTCWGTCAACGTGTGGTAAAGCCCACCTATCGGGTTTCTGCTCCTGTTAGGAGCTTTCTGACTCTGTCTCTTATTCTTTCTGACTATGACGGCTGTCCTGCAGTCCTTTTTGAGGCTCTGGATGATAGTCCTGACGACATGTATTTGGATTGGTTTCAAGGTCAGCTCTGCCCCCCCACTCAGAAAGTTCTGGGCTTGCGTGCTTTACTAATTCATACTCTCTCCCTCCACTTGACGTGATCTCTGCCAACCACTGTCCTGCTGTATCTCCTCCTGTATATTGTGGTTTCTCATCAGCTCCAAAGGTGTTTTGTTGTGCTAAGCAGCAACTATGACTCATACTTGTTGGTGTAATCGTTGAAGTATTTAAAACAAAAGGTGACTTTACAGTTCTGTGTGTACAATCCATGTTTAATWTTCCAAACACTAAAAATGAAGGTTTGTCTCAATCCTCATCCCGTTGCTGTTGGAGGAGAACACTGGTTGAAAGTCTAGCCTTGCTTTTTTAAATTAATTTGGTATAACATGGACTTTAACCAAAACTGACTTAGTTTAAAAGAATGGGATTAAAACTAAATCTATAATAAACCAGGATGACCCTTTATCAGGATGCAGKGTCAGCAGTTTTGTCTTCATGCTCTGAGGATCAGTGTTCTTCTTTAACACAAAACAACCTTCCTAAGTTTTATTCTTTTTGCCTTCTGGTCTGTGATATCCACAGTATACTAACATCGAGTCCATGCAGTGTCCAGTTAAACAAAAACTTCCTTACAGTGATTCATGGCTTCTCAGGAGAACAGAAAAAAAAGTATTTTATGGGAAAAGTTTAACTTGTTGAGAATGTCTAACTAAAGGTCTTTCTGGCCGTCTTTAAAGCTGTCACCGTATAAGTGCTCTAATGAGCTTTTGTCTCACTGTCTCCCCCTCCAGTCGGACCATCTGCAGTGCAGCGACTGGACAGCTCCACGGTGAGAACCTACTCCTGCTGAGAGGAGGAAGAGGGGGACCATAAACTGTACGCAGTATGTAACAACACTGTCAAATATACAGGTTTACAGAGTAGCAGAGACTAACAGATGCTGTAATGCTTCAGACATTTTCCAAGACTAACATCATGAAAGTGTTGCGTTAGCAAAGATATTTTCACCAAGTAGCTGTGATAGTGATAGCAAGAACGAACAGAGTAGAAGAGTTTAAAACATATAACATTTATTTAAATTAGTTTAAAAGCTCTTATCAAAATAAGTCAGGCTCTATTTTTTTTTCCACACGGCTAGATGCGTTGATGCATTTATTGAAACTCATCACAAACAATTAGATTTTTAAAGTACCATTACACAGTCAATGATTTAACAGTACAAAGCCTCCAAAAATAGTTACAAATAGAAAATAAACATTTCACCTCTGAAAGCACAACTATTGGATAGTTAGTGGGTAACTAGAACTGTGTAGTACATTATACTGGCTGCCACAGGGTGGACTAAATGTTAATAAAATGTTAATGTTATATATTAGTGGTTTAGCTTCAGCTTCTGCCATATTTTTTATTAATTCAGCTTTTTATTGTTAGAACCAGTGGCGCCTGCAGAAATGTTTTTTCAGGGGGGGCCACTGAAAAACCAGGGGTGGCACACGAAAACTAAAATCTAWAACAGAAATTTTATGATGTGTTTGTAAAATGACAAATTGAAAACTACGGCAATATGAAGCTATGGATTTGCCAACAGATGTACAATTTGTAATTTCACAGATAATATCATTGATTTTAGGACATTTAGTGACAAAAAACAAGAGTAAGTATTTGTAATGGGGGGACCCACTGGTGAGGGGTCTGGGGGTCCTCCCCCAGAAAATTTTTAAAGAAGTAAATGCCATTTCCTGCATTCTGGTGTATTTTAACAGGCTGTTAAACAGATTTTTTACCTACATAGGAAAACACTTAATGAGAGCATTCTAAAGGTAAAATGAAATAAATTTATTTGTTCAGCAATAGAAACACTGGATGAACTAATGTTTTATGGTAAATGTGGGGATTTAAATGAATTCAATTTTAAATTTAATGGGGACAGTTCCCTTCAAAAATGATTGTCATTTTATTTAAAAATGTCAAAATACATATTTTAAAGACATTTACAAGGAAGAAGCTTTTTAAATTTTAATGTCATCACCTCTTCTATGTATGTTAAAAATTTTATTTGCTTGTTGATGTTTACTTTTGTGAAGAAAAACTGTGATTATAAAACCCCAAAACTGGAAGTAAAGACTAAAACAAGCACAATTACAAACTACTGTATATCTACTGTAGTGTTATCCCAAATTATTAAAGTTATTTTCTTTTTATGTCATATAATAAATATGATTTTGGTCTGTGAGAGAAAACCAGAGTACCTGGTGAACAGAAAGTTGATCTAGTAACCTTCTTCCTTAGAGGCAATATGTTGCTCTACCAACTGTGCCACTGTACTGCCTAATTTTATATTTAATATATAATTATTAAAATTATTTAATTAATATTTGATTAAATATAACCTCTTGAGAAC